ATCTCTTTACTCCAAATAGCTATAGAGCCCCCTGTGGCATCTGTCACTATGTCCAGGTTCCTATATCCACAATCCCCTAACGTCAGGTCTGCCACTGCTACATGGCCCCACTTGCCTAATAAGGGGCTCCTGGCCCAGCACAGTCCCTCAGCTGAGCCCTGGATCTGCCCCACTGATTCACCCATCTTGGGACTCTATAAACTGTTTTCCACTAAAAGGGCCTTCCTCCACAGTTCTGACCTCCCCTGACCCTGTATCACCATGACTTGGTACCCTGCTTCTCTGACCTTTAAGTGCCACAGTCTGACGCCCACTCTTCCCTGATGACAGCCTATTTACAGTAATTCTGACCATCAATGGCAGTTCCCCAAATTACACCTCCAAGGAACTGAGATAGGCATCAGTTTGTTTCTTACCCTTGGATACTGGATCTAGTGCTATCCCTTAATAATGCTCCCCCTGAATCCCTTTGTATGGGCTCGTGCTTTCTAAGCACTGTCTCTCACTTTACAGTCCTAGGTATGATCATTATCATCCTGACAACAGATTCCTTCCTCTAGTCCCCAAACCAAATTACCCATCTGTCGATATCTATTATTCCATGTTATTAAATTTTCCTGATATCTAAGTTCCCATTTTCTACCCCAAATTCAAGCATCTAGTTCTGGTTCTACCAATTATACCACTGTTAAGACATATTGCCTTGATTATCTTAACATTAACTTCAATGTCCGGACTGGAGATGGCTCAGCCATTTAGAATGCTTGTTAGTCAATGGGGGGACTCATCCCTGGGAAGACTAATTCTCCCTCGCTCCCTCTCACTCTCTCAGCATTCCTTGGTTGCCTGTAGTTGTCTATGGGTGGGACCCAGTGAGATCTCCCCACTTCATGTTAGTATGTGTTAGTGCTGTCCTCGTTCAGATCTTGTTTAGGAAGCCATAATGTTGAGGTATTATGGGTGAAGCTTATACATACAAACTCTAAATAGACTCAGCAGGTTGTATTTATGTATTTGTGTGTGTGTGTTTAATAACTATTTAAGAAAAGGGACATGAATTTGAGAAGAGGGGCATGGGAAGGGTTGGAGGGAGTAAAGGGAATGAGGAAAATATGTAACTACATTTTAATAAAAAAGCTGAGCAGGCCATAGAGTAAGTAGCATCCTTCAGTGGCCTCCGCTTCAGTTTCTGCCTCCAGGCTTGAGTCCCTGCCCTGACTTCCCTCAGTAAGACTTACCTTGAACTATAAGAGGAAATGAACCTTTTCCTCCCATGAGCCCAAACCAAACCAACCAACCACGTAACAAAAGAATGCTTGCTGCTCTTCCAGAGGACTGGAGTTGGCTTCCCTGCACCTATGTTGGTCAGCTCACCATCACCCCTTCACCCCAGCTCTGATGCCCTCTTCTGGCCTTCACAAGCACCAGCAAACATACGGCATACACAGGGATATAAATAAAATCTAAAAATCTCAAATATCCCCACTATTGGGATGTATTTCAATGTTATGAACCCTAGGGTCAATGCCCAGAATAGCAACCATAACCTATATTGTCCATCACTTCTGAATGTATGGTTGTCCCACCAAGTCTCCCGGCTGTTGTACTGCAGCCTTTACCATTCACCCACCACTGCCTTCCTCAAGTCTACCCAAGACTCAATGACTTCCTTCCCATACTCCAATACTGTCTTATTGGCCTGTGTTCCCTACATCTGCTCATTTTCTTTGAACTTTCTGGTTCTATTCAGCTCCAGTATTTGGCCTGTATTTTCTTTTTGGTTTTTGATTCAAGATTTGTGTAGCCCTGGCTATCCTGGAACTCACTCTGTAGACCAGGCTGGCCCCAAACTTACAAAGATCCATTTGCCTCTGCCTCCCGAGTGCTGGGTGGCCTGTATTTTCTAATCACTGCTTTCCCATCATCCACATGTTGCCTCATCACCTGTCTGGCCTACCTTCCTGTTAGGCAGTTTAGGTTTCCCATAGTGATCATGCATTTGACTATTTTGTAGGAGACTGCTTCCCTATGATCTCAAAAATGTACCGATTTTGAGGTTGCATACCAAGTCTTTTCCTATTAATAAGCAGCCTTTTAGAGTTTGACTGTAAAACAAATCACCTATGAGCTGGAGAAATGGCTCAACAGTTCAGAACACTCAGGATTCTTGCAGAGGACAGGGTTTAGGCTTCCATGACCCACATAGTGACTACAGTTCTGGGGATCAGACACTCTCTTCTGGCCTCCTCAGTCATTCACTCCATGGACATGTAGGCAAAACACTCATATACATAAAATAAATCTTAAAAATAATCAAATGTACCCATCCTTTTGGCTCATGTTTTATGTTGCTAAATTCCTAGGAATGTATAGTTCAGTATAGCTTAGTGTGAACACTCTTAGGTTCAATCACTAGTGCCAAAAATATGTATTTCTAAAACTCTAGACTCTTATTGGCCTAGCTGAGATCACATATCTACATTTGGCCCAAGGGACAAACATCAGCCATCTACTTCCAGCAGATCAAAATTAACCCAGTGCCAATTGTTGGGGCAAGTGTTCTGTTCTTCTGAGTTGTCAGTGGTAGACAGAATATGGACACACGAAATCATTTCTGATTATGAAATATTATGCTTGAGGGCGATGTTAGAACTTCACTATCTGGGATATAGCATGAAAGGCCTCAGATTTTATTTTCCTAACAGGTATCCTATACTCTTTTAAGTATCTTACTCTGATTTCACTAGGCCCATGGCTGCTGTAAAAAACCTGGTGACTCAAAACACCAGGAACTACTATCATAGCTGTGTAGGTCAGAAATCTACAATGTGTCCACAGGACCACACCACTTTTAGAAGCTCACAGATGCTTACTGTACCCCACCTCTTCCACTTTGTGGCTGCAGTATCCTGAACTGTCTAGGTAACAAGACAGCTTGTCTTTCGTCTCAAATCTTCCTCTTGGCCTCCCTGGCCTTTGCTTTCTCCTTAGAGGTATATTTAGATCCCTGGACTACGTCTCACCAAGATAATTCAAGATGGTCTCTTCATACTCAACGATTATACTTACAAAGACCCTTTTTCTAAATAAGGCAACACTTACCTCTCAGGAATTACAATACAAACATATCTTTTGAAGGACCCCCATCCAACTACAATGTTTCCAATGTGCTACAAATGTGAAAGCTTTCATTTAAGTAAAAAGCCAATGAGCCAGGTGTGGTGGCAAACTGTAATGCCAACATTTTGTAGGTAAAGGCTAATCTCAGTACATGAAACCTTGCCTCAAAACAAAACAAAACAAAACAAAACCCAAATAACAAAAAGCCATAAAGGAGACTGGCTTTTCTCCAAGTCTTGCTGGACTCCAAGGTTAACTGCTTACCACCACCAGGACCTTGCTCTTGTGAAGGATTTGTTCTGGAAACAGCAACCTTTCTTCTGTACCAAAGTCAAGAGTGGTCTTTTTTGCTACTTATTGCAATCAATTAGCAAGTTCCTGGTGCAAGTAAAGCTACTGATAAGTGTGCTGTACTGGCTGTCCCAGTGTGGTGACTGATTAGTAAAGGAATCAGGTGGTTTAATCCTTCTCTCAAGTTGTCTTCAGTCAGTCAAAAGGACTGAGATCACCAAGGGCTCATGACCAAAGTACAAGTATCTTTGGCTATGGCATCATTCTTTAAGCATTACCCTCGAAGAAGCCAGTGCTCAATTAAGAATCTTTTCCCATGGCCGGGCGGTGGTGGCACACGCCTTTAATCCCAGCACTCGGGAGGCAGAAGCAGGCGGATCTTTGAGAGTTCGAGGCCAACCTGGTCTACAGAGCAAGATCCAGGAAAGGCACAAAGCTACACAGAGAAAACCTGCCTCAAAAAAAAAAAAAAAAAAAAAAAAAAAAAAAATCCCTTCCTATATATTAAGCTGCAAGGTAGCATGTAAATACCTCAAGAAAGTATTTACTTATAACAAATATAGAGATTAGGAAGTCCAACATTAAGGAAAATGCCTTCTTGCTGTCTCTCCCCACAGTGGAGGCGTTATAGGGTGAGATCACACCACAGTAGCCTAAACTCATGTTTTTATTGGAAACCTCCTCCCTAAAAGCTCCCCCACTCCCACAGACACTAATCAAAGTATAAATAATCAACTTCAACATTGTATCACTAGGAAATCAGTTTTAACACATGAATTTCGTGGACACATTCAAACCCTAACACTGACCCCTTTAGTAATTTTCCATCCAGTGATGACCTTTTATCCCTACAAGTCCATTCTGTTCCTTAGCTGCACATCCCCAACTTTTCCTTGTTATATTTAGAATCTAGCCTCTCCCTCAATGCAAAGCCCTGCTGCAATGGTCCTTATATCTAACCAGAGTCCCCGATACAGTCTGCTTTACCAACATAACAAGTGTCAGGAATCAGACTTGAGTTTTATTGTTTTGTTTGTTTTTGGTTTGTGAGACAAGTCTCTCTATGTAGCCCTGGCTGCCCTGGAACTCTGTAGATATAGATCCATCTGCCTATGCCTCCCAAGCGCTGGATCAACGGTGTGCACAACAGACAGCGAGGAGTCAGTTTTTTAGTGGCACACACTCAAACATACACAGAGGTTTTGCTTATCTCTTAAAACAAAATTATTATTGTATGTGTATATGTGTGTATGCACACACAATGTGGGGGATGAGGGGTGCACATACCAGTGTACCTTTAGAAGTCAGAGTACAATTTTGTGGAGTCAAGCTTTTCTTTCCACCTTTACATGGATTCTGGGGATCCAACTGGGGTCACCAGGCTTGTACTACAAGTCCTTTTACCTGCTGACTCATATCATCAGCCCCTGCCTGTCTTATACTTCACCTCATATCCCTGACCCCGTCTGCCACTGTTTCCCTTTGTTTTTTTTCTTTTTGTTCTTCCCCCTCCTCTTCTTCTCTCCAGAGTAGGGCATGTTAAACCCCGAGACACCCACACGCTGAGCATACTCTACCACAGAGCTATGTCCTCAGCCCAGCCTTTCTGCTTTATTAGTCCCTGCTGTACCTCATGGCTGCACTCCAACATTCAATGGATGAATATATAGCCTGACTTACACAGGATTCCACTGCCTCCTGAAACCATACTAAAGCACCCCTAACAGCTGAATGGGTACAATCCCGAAAGAAGAACTAGAGGCGTTACCAGAACAAGGCTGGTCAACCCAAATGTCAGAAGGGGGAAAGCAGATGAATACAAACTCTGCTTTAGAAGTCTGAACCGGAGCGTGCAGTTCTAGAAGATCCGCTGTGTGGAACCTGGGAAAGGAGGGGAGGTAAGTAGCCCCAAAAGACTTTAAACCTAAGAGCAATCAAAGAAAAGCTGCTTATTTACATGCTCTCTCTTTTCACTACTGAGAAATTACCGTGTTTCCAGTCTTTTGCTTTGTTTTTCTACATTGTCTCTAATGTTCTGGAGTTTTCTACAGTTCTGGACCAGGGACACCAAACTCTCCCTAAAGTTACTAGTTCCGTGATCTCTGCCAATGTTTTCAAGCTCATCGAAGAAAGTCAAGGTCTCTTTGAGTTTAGCTTTAACAGTTTTTTGCTCCTCTAATTCTGCAAGAAGGGCCTGTTCAGTGCATAATTCGACCTTATACTTCTCCTGTAACTCTTCGATTTCCTTTTTGAGGAGCTGGAATTTCTCTTCACTGAAAGGATGCGTCTCCTGACACTTATCTTCAGGAAGCAGGATGTTTGGGGGAATACACAAAACCGACTGCAAAAGCAGCTGCTCCATTTTGCCAAAAAGGTTATCGAAACGTCCTTTCATGAAGCAAAGAAACTTCTCTGTGCATTTACGAATTTGGACAGGGCTAATCTCAGAGTCTGGGATGCCCTCCAGCTTCTTTAGGATAACCTGTTCAACAGCCTGCATCACTTCAAACAGGTGGTCTTGAAATGCTATGTAGATCCTCAGCAGGCAAGTCTGTGGTGTGAAGCCAAAGAACTGGGCCTCATAGGCCATCGGATCCACGGACATCCTGCTTTACTTTGCTGCCCTCAACTGTGAAAACCTGCAAGTAGAAAAAGAAAGAAATTTCATTTGGACAACGTCATCAGAGGAAAGTAACAAACCTCTCTATTGATAAACAAGCAAACAAAGAAAGCAAATAGGGGCTGGAGAGATGGCTTAGAGGTTAAGAGCACTGGCTGTTCTTCCAGAGGTCCTGAGTTCAATTCCCAGCAACCACATGGTGGCTCACAACATCTGTAATGAGATCTGGTGCCCTCTTCTGGCCTATAGTCATATGTGCAGGCAGAATACTATACACATAATAAATAAATAAATAAATAAATCTTAAAAAAAAAAAAAAAAGCAAATAGAAAACTAAGGCATTTGTGCTCCTTTGATACCTGATGTTCCTTCCAGCCTTAAATGCCCACAGAAAGACAGAAGCCCTTGCCTCTTGAGTCTCTTTCCTATACTCTCTTTATTGTTCATTTCCCTCAGTTATTATTACTGAAGACTTAGATATAAGCCCAACCTTCTCAATTCTGTTATCTTGGGCAACTTTGAAAGTTTAAACAGATGGCCTCAATACCCTAGAGACCTGGTTTTTTTGAGCTTCAATGATCTACATATGCCCCCACATTTTGGCCTCAAACTTTCATTTGTGACAGGGTCTCATGTAACCCAAGCTGGCCTCAAACTTGGTGTGTAGCTGAGGATGATCTTGAACTTCTGATTCTTCTGTCCCTACCACCAGAGTGCTTGGATCATGGGAGTACACCAATCAGACCAATTTTTTATGTGGTGCTGGGGTTAGAAGCCAGGGCCCAGACAAACACTCTACTGAGCTACATCTTAACCAAGTCCCGTGCTAGTCTGTCAGTCACACTGTACCTTAAGCAGCTCCCAGTGTTTCCACTTCACTTCTCTGCCCATTCCTTTTCGTCCCATGTTCTACCATTTTATTTACCTCATTGTCTCCCACCCTAGCCATCTGAGAAAAATCCAACTAAATGACCAAGCCTTTACCCTGATTTGTTTCAAGGATCTGAGAGGCATTCTTTTCTAGTGTAAGCATCTAGAAACATGTCATCCCATTTCCTTCACCTTGGAACCATGGAACTTAACCAGGGCATTTTTGTCTTACTAGTAACCATATGCTTGGTATGGAAATAAGAGAAGTTTTACTCCATTCTCAGGTAAGGACATTTAATGTAATCTACAAACTGCTACTTCAAACTACCAGATGAATTTTTTAAAACTTTAAGTGAAGAAAAAAAAAAAGTATAGCCAATGGTGTGGACAATCTTATGAGAAGACAGGATGCCATCAACCTTGAAAAATTATATCTGTAATGGTTTAAAAAACAGTGGTGATAACTGTGTGGCTATATAAACAGAATTTGTTTTTGTAGTGTCGTTCATAGAGTGTCTCTGGCCTGGAAGATTTTTACTTCCTGAACACTTCTCACAGATTATGCTCCTACTAGGGTTTGGTTTTGTTGAGACAGGGCCTCACTATGTTGCTTAGGCTGGCTTCAAAATTTCAACTTTTCTCTCTTCGCCTCCCAAGGAGCAGAATGCCAAAACTACTCTTACAATTTGTGGTGCTGTTTTTAACACAAGTAGCTCTGGCTGGCCTAGAACTCACTTTTTATGTGCATATGCATGTATCCACCTGTGTATGTACACATACATGAAGATGCCTACAAAAAAACGCAGGTGTTGGGTTCTTTGGAGCTGGAGTTATAAATAGCTGTGAGTGCTGGCAACTCAACTTGCTGGGAACCCAACTCAGGCCCTCTGCAAAGGCAACAAGAGCTCTTAACTTTGGAGCCACCTCTCCAGCCCCTACTAATAGTCTTATATACACATGTTTACATTTTAATGGCCTAATCACTTCATGTCATTGCACTCATTACTTGACTGACCCTGACCACAGCAGTATAGCAGTTCCATCACTCACAAGCACACACACACACACACACACACACACACACACACACACACACACCCCAGGTAAAGTGTCCATGCCACACCTCTAATCCCAGCATTCAGGAGGCAGAGGCAGGTAGATCTCTGTGAGTTTGAGGCCAGCCTGGTCTACAGAGCAAGTTCCAGGACAGTCAGGGCTACACAGAGAAACCCTGCCTCGAAAAACAAAAACAACAAACAAACAAAAGGTGTCCTTTAAGCATTTGAGCTCTGCATCTATGCTCCCTCTTAGCCATCCCCATCCAGTTTAGTAAGAAGCTGCTGTACCAAAAAGGAGAAGGAAAGGGATGGCACAAATTCAATGATTATGTATGAGAAGTAAATCCAATCTTCTTAGAGCTACCCTGTGTTTGTGACAGTGGTGTTAGGGGGACTGATACACAGTGTAAAACAAGACAATCCTTCCCCACCAACCAAATAATCAAGACACCTGTCAGACCTCTGAGCATACATCAAGATGATGAGGAGCAGGGCTGCCCGAGATGGCTCAGCTGTTAAGTGCATCTGCTGCTCCTGCAGAGGGCCCAAGTTTGGTTTCCAGAATCCATATATAAAAGCTCTCAACTATCTATAATTCCAGTTCTGACACCCTCTCTCCTGACCACCCTCGGGCACTGCACACAGTGCAACATACATATACACGAAGGCACACACATAAAAATAAATTAATTTTTAAAATGTTTTAAGCTAGTGAGGAACAGGACTGGAGAAATGGCTCAATGGTTAAGAGCACCTGTTCTTGCATAAGACCTGGGTTCAGTTCCCAACACCCACATGGTGGCTCATAACCATCCATAACTCCAATTCCAGGGAATCCAGTGCCCTGTTCTAACCTCTTTGGGGGACATGGCACACATATGGTACATATACATAAACGCAAGCAAAACACTCATACAAATACATTTCAAAAAGCAAAATCATTAAGCAACAATAACAAACAAACAAGATAGTTGGGGATGGAGAAATGACTCAGTGGTTAAGAGCACTAGCTCCTCTTATAGAAGACCCAGGTTCATTGCCCAGCACCCATATGATGGCTCACACAATCTGTAACTCCAGTTCTAGAGAATTCAATGCCTTCTTCTGGCCGTGTGGGAACCAGGCACAGGCATAATGAATATACATACATGCAGGCAAAATAAATAAATAAATGAATAAACAAAATACACTTTACAAACAAACAAAATACACTTTAAAAAAAGGTAACAAGGAACCAGGTAGAAGTCAAACTATGACACTGAAATGGATTAATGTGAGGCTCTGTCATATTTGGTCCATGACACTCCAATATAAAATTCTGCAGGTGCAGCTGAGGCTAGGCTTCACTGGCAAGCCACAATGATAAGATTAATGACAGCCCATATCAAGGCAGAGTATTCTTTCTGACAATTCACTTTTCTATTTTCAAACCAGCTAAGGATACATTTGCAAGAACTTTCACTCAAATGGTAACAGTAATAGCATCTGACTCCATAGTCTAAGATCAGTGATCACCTGCTTTAACTATTTCTAAATCACTCTATTCATTTGTTCACTGTTTTGATACAAGTTTGCATGATCCTTTAGTGCCACAGATTGTACAGATCTATAAATCAGAGATACATTTAAGAGATCATGTTGGGAACAAAGTCAGAAACATGCCATATGATATGACCTTAAAGTCAGAATAGCCTGCATTATTGCTGGAATAAACTTTAAATTACTCTTCCTCTTCTCTTCTCATTTGGCAGTTCCTTTATCAGACCTCTTCTTACTTTTGTCTTTTGTTTACCGCTTTCCATTCAGTTACTGGGTCACCTAAGAAGTCTTAAGTTCTTTCAGTGTTGTACAATGACTTTTAAAAGATTTAATCTTACTATGTATGTGTGTATGCTCACGTGTGCATATGCCACATGCATACAGGTGCCCTTGGAGACACCCAGGGGAGGGTGTCAGTCCGGCTGGAGCCAGAGTTAGAGACAGTTGGGAGCCACTGAACATGGGCGCTGATATGCAAACTCATCCTCTGGAAGTGGCATGGGGACCTTACTGTTGAACCATGACCATACCCACACAATAACTGCTTTTTGGAAAACTGTATTATAAGGTAACAGTTAATCAAGATTATGATTTACAGAGTTTCTCTGCGTAGCCCTGGCTGTCCTGGAACTCACTCCGTAGACAAGGCTGGCCACCACCTGGCTACATTTTTTTTAAGTGAAGCAAGTGTATTATGTGGCCATGTCTTCTCTAACTCTGTAATGAGACTAAACCATTCCTCACTGCTCTAACACTGGAGAAATCATCTGAGTGGGGAATAGACATGGGTATTTAGTTGTCCCACCACAGGATGAAACATTTTAGCAGCATCTGTCCTTGTTTAAGCCTTCCACTGTGAAGTCTCAGTTTACAAATATTCTTTATGCTCATAACTGATGGGTTAGAGACTTGGTTTTGAATCTGTAGCATTAATATGGAAAGACAAACATCCTTTGTATTCCAAAACAGGGTCTCAAAACAGTTCTGAATTTTCATCTAAATTGCTAGGAGGCTTGGAGCTATTAATTCATCTCCCAAGGAAAAAGATGTTGGGAGTTGATAATGGAAGAGGGATCACCTAATAGGTCTGCTAGTAACTAATTTTGTTTTCTTCAATAAAGTTGCCTAAAACGGTGTGTGTGTGTGTGTGTGTGATATGGAGATCTTCCAAGTGAAATCTTCTTAGGGACTTGCCAGATACTTGCATATATAATGTCACTAAATATTGCCAAAACATCTTAGAACATCTAGACAGGTTTATACTCACTTGGAGTAGACCAGAACTTCTTTTACCTGCCAGCCCTCTTAACTTTTGCCAATTTGGTAGTCATAAACTTGTTTTGCCTTCCTACACTGCTAAGCATTATGTCCAGGGCCTTTTACAAGCTAGGTTTGCACTCTACTGATACATTCCCAGCCCCACACTGTATTTTAAAAATTAAAACCATCTGGCCTCACATACTGTTTGGACACTGAAACTACCTCCACCCTCCACATCTGTTGTTTATATTGGGATGCCTTTTCTAGAAGATTATAATATTTTCATTATCCAAGCAGGATGGATGTCTGTTACAAATTACCCAAATGATGAGTCAACCTACCGACAACTTGCACCCTATAATTAAGTTTGCATTCTAACTTTGCTTCAAGAGTGTGTGTGTGTGTGTGTGTGTGTGTGTATCCAATTCTAACTAAGTTCCTAAATCCAAAATTCCAGTTCAGAGAAAAGTTCCAAGTTTGCCTTTTCTGTTACACGGCCAATGCTATGGCGGTGGTAGCTATAAAGCTGCAGTTTTACCAACAAGTTAAGGCCGCTCTTCTAGTGTTTGCCCCCAGTCTCCTCTGTGTTGTCCACGCCGGCCTACAACTTCAGGACTCAACAAAGCCTCTGGCTTCAGCCTCCAGAGTGGCTAGGAGTCACAGGCGGGTGCCACTACTGCGTTCAGCCTTATATTACTTCTAAGTTAAATGCCATTCTCTCTTTATAGTCACACTTCCCCCCCACACACACAATTTTTTATGCTTCTTTTAACTTACAAGAATACTCCTGCCACGATCTGGATAGTCTTTGCTCCAACACAACCGAACTCTATCTCCTTTCCTTCAAGTAGGCACGCACTGAGCACAGATCCTTCAAGAGGCAGCCACTACCTCCTTCGCTTTCCCCTCCGTGTTATTAACTCATCTACCATCGCTTCTCTGCCAGACAGAGTTCCTGCGGCTGAAGTTTAAAAAACACGGGAGGTCCCCACACCATCTCGACGAGTGGAGCGGAGCCCACGACCACCGCAGACAAGGACCAGAGACCGCAGAGCCGGAGGCGCTTCCGGCAGCTCCAGCTCCCGTCCCACCCTGCGGCCGCGAAGCATGCCGGGACCTCCAGCCCTCCAGGCCCAAACCGGCCTGGTGGGAGGGGGTACCCTGCAGAACGCTCCGGCGCCCCGGGAAACGACACCGCTCCTCCTCAGAGAGCACACAGCCCCTACCGAAGCGATCCCGGGGGTGATGGGAGTCCGCCGCACACCGGCTTCCCGCCACTTCCTTCAAACCACACGGAGCTGAAGGAGGAAGGCGGCGGCAACTGCTCCTCGGAAGCGACTGGAATGTGCCTCCGCGAACAAACGCAAAGGCGGGCTGGCCCGCACTCCTGATTGGCTGGCCCGCACTCCTGATTGGCTGGCCGAAAGGGAGCACTTGGATTGGTCAAGGGAAGGGGACAAGGCGGGAAAGCTAGCTGTGGCCGGCGGGGATTGGCGGGAGGAACTGGTACTTTCTCTCTTCGTTGGTAGGCGGAGATGAAAGGATGGGCCGACGCGGAGGCGCAACTCGTGATTGGTGGATGCGCAGTCCCCAGGGCGCCAGCGATTGGTGGCTGGCCGAGTGCGCGGCGCTGATTGGACAGCGGTGGTAAGGCTGAAGGCCGGCTTTGAGTCCGCCCCGCCGCCTGGCATACTGGCGGAAGGGGAAGGGGGGCAGGCGCGGTGGGGAAGATGGCGTACCAGAGCCTCCGGCTGGAGTACCTGCAGATCCCGCCGGTCAGCCGCGCCTACACTACCGCCTGCGTCCTCACCACCGCGGCCGTGGTGAGCAGCTGTGGCGCCACGTCCTCTTTTTCAGGCTAGCTATGACTGGGTCTTCAGAAAACGGGTTTGGGCCGCAGAGAAGCCCAGAGGGTTTGGTCCCAGGGGTGGGTGGAGACATCCGGAGCTGACTCTAGGGTTCAGGATAGTCCCAAGGGTGCCAAGCCAGTGACCTGAAAAGGAAGTGCTCCTCCATGCGAGGGCAGGTCTGTTTCCGAGAGATGAAATCGAGACCTGTAGCGAGTCAGACCTGCGGGAGCCGCCCACCCAAAAATGTGTCTCAGAGCTCTAGCTATGGCCAGGTGACTAGTGTGGGAGCAAGGTCCGCTAGGTTCACAGACTTCCATATTAAGAATAAAAATCTCGAATTGTCTGGAAGCATCTTTCAAAAGACGGCCCGTGGATGTAAGAACTGGTCGCCTGTACCTAGCCCTATTGGTAGCGGGGCCTCGAATCTCTTATTCGGAGTTGTCTCACCCAGCTGTTTCTCAGGTGGTGACCACGCGACACACAGATTCATAAAAGATACTGTTGTCTTTAAACTATCCTCTCCTGCCTGCCTTATAGCATCCTCAAATACTGCAACATAAAACTTGCATTGTGTATTGAGGATACAAACGGTTGTACGAATTCTAAAGAATCCCTTACCAGCCGTCGCAAGCAAGACATAGAAATTTACTCCAAGTGACAACAGAAATTATTAGAGCTACTGATCCTTTGTTGTTAGTGCTGAAGTTTTGTTTTATGATCGCTCTGATTTAAGAAGCTTTTTTTTTTTCCATTTCAGCAGTTGGAATTGATCACACCTTTTCAGTTATACTTCAACCCTGAACTAATTTTTAAACACTTTCAAGTAAGTGGTCTATGGCTACTATGATTAATATTTCCACTATCGTCTCTTCTTTATTGTTTAGTAAGTAATAAATCCTGTCAGATACAGTCTCAAAAAATAATCCAGTGGAGGAAGCTCTGATTATAAGTCTTACTGAAATGTAAAGAAGGAATTCTGCAGCCTGGTTGGACTCCAGAATCATTTAAGAACTGCTAGGTATTTGTGAGTTCTTCATCATATACCAAATTATAATTGCCAAGGGTGGATCGAGGTACAGGCAGATTAAGCAGGAAGATGGCAAGTTCTGGGTTAGCTTGGACTACCTAGGAAGTCCCTGTCTTAAGAAAATTGCTACAGGTGGGAATTTATAATTCATCTTCTATTTTTAGTATGTTTTTGGTGTATTGAGTTCCTGTATTTGACTACAACTAGTTAAGAATTACTGTGGCCATAATCCCAGCAGTCAGGAAGCTGAGGCCAGCTTGAACTACACATCAAGGAATTGTCTTAAAACACAAGCAATAGTAACAACAACCAATGTTAATAATAATAATTATGATGGTGATGATGATGATGATGATGATATTTGAGAATATTCTAACCAGCTAGCTGCCCAGGGAGTCTCACAGGATAGCCCTTATTTTGTCCATTCACCACCCAGACACAACCTGGGTTAATTGTTGTTAATCCTCATGGTCCAGCTCATAAACCAGTTCTGGTAGAGCTTTAACACTGATCTGTCTTCCAGAAGTCAGATCATACTAACACAAGTCTAAAAGACCATTCTCTAAAACAGTATGTTGGCTTATTAGAGTACAGCTTGAAGAAGTCTTTTTCCAGTGATTAAAATGCTAAAAAGCAGTGTGTTTTCATGCCAGGATGGTCATTCACACTCTAGGTGAAGGCTAGATCTCATTGGCTGTAATTCTGCTTTATTCGTGCTGTTCCCTGCCCCAAATGGATAATACTCCCTTTGTACCCATTGAACTCTAGTTTGCCTTTCAAGATGCAGCTTTTGTGTGCCTTCAGATATATTACCTTTCACAATAGAGCATCTCTCACCCTTACTTGGGGTTGGTTTGGTTTTTCTATATAGGGTTTCTCTGTGTAGTCCTGGCTGTCCTGGATCTCGTTCCCTAGACCAGGCTGGCCTTGAACTCCCAGGGAATCTGCCTGCCTCTGCCTCTGAGTGCTGGGATTAAAGGCGTGCACCACCACCATCCAGCTTTACTTGGGGGCTTTTATGTGTGGTGTCCTCACTGGGTTGAGGATTCTTTGAGATCTTATGTGCAGGTTAACACATAGAACTGGGTTGTTTCCATGTAAACAGACTGCTGGTTGCTGTTCTCACTGCTGTGATGGGAATACCTGACAAAGCAGCCTAAGACAGGAAGGGCTTATTTGGCTCCCAGTTTATTGGTAAAGTCCCGTTGTGGTTGGGAAGTCACTGCATCTGGAACTTAAGGCTGTGGGTCCCCTTGTACCCTTAGTGAGGAAACAGAGGCACAAGTCGGGAGTTCAGTTCACTTCTTCCTGTTCAGTTGTCCTAGGATCCCAGCCCATTGTATGGCGCCCCCAGCTAGTGTTTTCCTTCCCACCTCAAGTGACAGAGTCTAGAAACTCCCTCAGAGAGGGATGCCCAGAGTTTGTCTTACAGGTGACTGTCAACATTAATTGTCACAAATAGTTACCAGTGGTGGAGGGTTTAATGGTGTATGAGCAGTCGGTCCCCTGGCAATCTGGTCTTTGCTAGGTGGCTTTTCCTGGGATTGCTTCCTACTGACTTGTGGGGCGTGACTGCCTAGGGTTAAATTCTTTGGTTTGTTTTTTGTTTATTTTCTGAGATAGTTTGTTTTGTGGCTGTGACTGTGGCATGGTCACAGTGTCCAGTCATGGTGTCCTCTTGCCTCAGCCTCCTAGGATCACAAGGTGTACATCACCATACTTTTTTTTTTTTTTTTTTTTTTTAAGCAACAACAAAACCACAGGATCTCTTATGAAGCCTGGGCAACTTTTGAATTTAACAACAATTCTGTGAACTTCCTGCCTGGACTTCTTAGTACTAGGATTATAGACATGAGCAACCATCCCTAGCCAAGGTTAAATTCTTGTATTAAGTTTGGAATTAGGAGTTCTAGATTTGCTATCAAGAGTCTCCACCCAGCTGCCTTGCCCTTCAGCAAGCCCTGAGTCTTAAGATTTCTTGTCTGTGAAGTGAGGATGGTCACGTCAGCTTGCCCATCTCACAAGATTACTAAGATCTCACATGATAGTAAATTATGTAAAGCTTTGTGAGTAGTTGTAGATTGATTAGGTGAGACTGCTCTTGTATCTCTCCTTCACTCTGGGAGCATCAATTCTTGTAGGAAGTCGACTTCAAACCAGAACCTGACTGTCTTAGAATTTTTCCATTAGGATGTTGTGCCTAATTTAGAAACTTTTTTTCAGCAGCTTTATTTACTTGATCCCTGAAGTTTTTAGTGCCTGTAAACTCCTCCTTATGGTGACTACACATATAAGAGCACTCTGTTCTGCAAACTAACCTAGCTTGTTATTCAGACAGCTAATTTGCTTAGCCACATGGTGTGCACTTTTTGTGTTGTTTTATAAAAGACAATTACAATTTTGAATTTTTGTCCTATCATCCGTATAAATTTCACAGTCCAATTAATATCTTTTAGTCTCTTAACTAGAAGCATCTCTCTCTCTCTCTCTCACACACACACACACACACAAAACAAACCCAGAGTCAGATGGATGTCACATTTGAATGGGCCCCACCTAGGACTTTGGAGCCTTAGAGTCATAGAATGTCGTTTTTCTCTTACTATAGAAATGTTTCCTGGTTATGTATTTTACTTAATGTATCTTTCTCTCCCCCGCCCCCACTCCCACCCCCTACAGATATGGAGGCTAATCACCAATTTCTTATTTTTTGGTCCAGTTGGATTCAATTTTTTGTTTAACATGATTTTTCTGTATCCTTTTAAGTGGAGTCAACATCAAGACTTTAGGTTAACTTGGTGTATATTGTAAGTTGAAACTATTACTCTTGTTTATTTTTTTTTAATAACATTGTAGTTATGACTTCTGGGTCTGTAGTTTGTAATCAAATCATAATGTTTTGAAATTCTTTGTAACTCCTTGTTTACACAGGAAGTTCCAACTCTTAAAACATGCATGTCCTTCAGCTGTAAGTTATTGTAGACACATTTGTAAAATAATGTCAGCATCAGCTGGCACAGTAGTAAGTCACCCTGAAACATTGCTAACTCAACAGAATTTTCCCCAGGGTTTGGAATGAGTTTATGAGAGTGGGGACCATGATTACAAGGCTGAAAAAATAGTGAGTGCCAAAATGTCTGCTGGGCTCGACATATTTAGGTTTGTTGAGAGACAGGAAGAGCCCTCGTAATCAAAGAGTTAGATGGGAATTGGATGTGCTGAGCATCCAGCACTCCAGCTCATCTGCAGGAGACAGAGGCCTTTAAGTCCTAGAACGGTTTTTTGTTTCCTGTATAGGCTATATTCTGATAAGTTTCT